TCCATCTATGAAATAGAAGTAGTTTTAGTCCCTATTTCATAGGGTTATTTGGGTATTAAGTCTTTTATTATGTCTTGGTGCATAGCCTGGCACCAACTCTCATCAGAGTTAGATCTTAGAGTTTTAGTGTTCACCGCCAGGTACTTTGGCTCTACCATTCCCATTCGATTCAGCATTATGTATTCTGGGACACAACTTCACACGGGGAACTGTAGTTTTTAGTTTCCAGCTGTCCAGGATTGTAAGGAGATCTTCTTCTCCCCTCCCTCCTTCCTTTTTTCCTTCCGTCCTTCTCTCCCTCCCTCCCTCCCTCCGTCCCTCTTGATTGCTTGCACTCATTTTAAATAGATGGGTCTTGCCATGTTGCCCAGCCTGGCCTTGGACTCTTAGGCTCAAGTGACACCACTTCAACCTTCCTCCCACGAAGCTGGGGTCCACAGGTACATGTCACTACACCTGGCCCAGAGTCGTAGTTACTGGAACTGTCGGCTGGGAAACAGTGATGTGGAAGTACTGGTATTTGGAAGGTGTCTTTGAGAGCTTGCTTGTTGCTAGCTAAGACTGAGGATTTTCCAGAGGGTTTAGTAGTGCAGTTCTGTAATCCGCACCACTCAAGCAAGCAGGAGGCTTGCAAGTTCTAGGCCAGCCTGAGGATGTGTACTGAAACCCTGCATCCTGAGGGCTTCCGAGGGGCTGGAGGGTGGCTTAGTGGTCAACATTGGCTGCTCCTCTAGAGGACCTAGGTTCATTCCCAGTACCTACATGGCAGCTCACAGTTGCCTGGAATTTCAGTCTCAGGGGATCTGACACCCTCAACTGGCCTCTGAGCACTGGGCATGCTTCTTGTACACAAACATAAACATGCAGGCAAAATACCCATACACATAAAAATCAGTTAAATTTGCCTGAATGGTGACGCACACCTGTAATCCCCGCACTCAGGAGGCAGAGGCAGGCAGATTTCTGTGAATCCAAGGCCAGCCTGGGCTACAGAGCAAGTTCCAGGAGAGTTGAGGCTACACAGAGAAACCCTGTCTTGAAAAACCAAAAATCAAAAACAAAACAAAAACAAAAAAACAATTAAATTTAAGGGGGGGTGGGGGTCCTAAGAACATGCTTCAGATCTGAAAGAGCCAGGAGTAAGGTTTCTTAGGATGATAGTTGTTCTTGGCTACTCTGGTCTGCCCTTTGTCCACACCAGGCTTGCAGGCAACAGCAGCCATTTCAGACAGCAGCTGTATTGCTTCCTAACCCTTCTGCAAGGGCAGCTGCTTCCAAGACCCAAATACAGAGGGAAGGCAAGCTGAGAGTGGCGTGGTGAAGTCAGTAGGTCACGCTAGCAGGTTGGTTTCTTCCTGGGCTCTGCTCCTCTTGTCCCTTCAGCTGTCTCAGTCTGTTAAATGTTTGCAGTAGGAAGGAATCCCTCTGGAGTCCCCACAGCACCTGTGCTTTCTTGGCTGTGTGGAAATAAGATGGCTCAGCTGGCTACAGATGAAGTACATACTGCTTTGGTTTTCTTTACAGTCTTCCTTTTCCTCACATGTCACTGAGCACACAAAGGACTGTGTTCTGGTGTTGATTACATCACTCGGCTCGGAGCTAGTTAGCATAAATATTTTAATTTTTTACATGTTTTGTGTGTAGATGTGTGCACATGTGCATGCATGTGAAAGTCAGAGGACATTTGGCAGGAGCTGGTTCTCTTTCCACCTTGTGGGTTTTGGGGATTGAACTCAGGTCACTGGGGGTGGCAGCAAGCACTTTTGACCTACTGAGCCGTCTTGCCAGCCCAGAGCCACTTACTATTGATGTGCTTTGTTTGGTATCACATGCTCATCTGTTTTTTTCCCTTTGCCCACATCAAGATGCTACTTATAAAGTAGCCTCAGAAGGAAGCTCTGGTTTGTAGAAGTTACTTTGTTTTAGTGGGAATGATACACAGTGAAGGGGGTGGGGGAGGGGGGACCAAGTACAGGTGGTCAGGTGCATGGTTTGAGTTAAGCCTCATACTATTAGTGACAGGTACTTGTGGGTTTATGCATTGAGTTTGCCTGAACCTGGTGTGCTTTTTTTTTTTTTTTTTTTGGTTTTTCGAGACAGGGTTTCTCTGTGTAGCTTTGCGCCTCTCCTGGAACTCACTTGGTAGTCCAGGCTGGCCTCGAACTCACAGAGATCCGCCTGGCTCTGCCTCCCGAGTGCTGGGATTAAAGGCGTGCGCCACCACCGCCCGGCCTGGTGTGCTTTTAAACTTGAGCGCTTTTTATTTTTTGAGGTGCTGACTGGTTAGTGCTTGTTTTGATTGGTAGCAAAGCCAGCAGCTAGCATTGATATTAAGCTAGGGTAGATGATAGTCAATGAATTTTTTTTTAATGTACTAAAAACCCTATCAAGCCCAAGAGAGGCATTTGGCACCTTTGACCCTGGGGATAGCTATTATTAGTTCTCTCTGGTCTTCAGTCAAGGACCTTAAGTTTGCTAATTTGGAATAACTGGAGCGTATCATCAGTTTACAATAGCACGGGCATATGCAGGTTCATTGGTAAACAGTGGAGGTGAGAGAGTGACGGGCATTTGCTTTACAGAAGAAGACTGACCCGTGTTCTGTGTGAGTTTACTCACACAGATAAAGAGAAGATCAAGGCGATGTCTGTCTTTCTCTGACTCACAGTTTTGAGGAGAGGAGACACATGTTCATTGTATTTGTGGGAATAGTCTCTTCTCGCTCTTTTTTAAAATGTTTTATTTATTTTATGTGCATTGGTGTTTTGCCTGCATGTGTGTCTGTGTGAGGGTACCAGATTCCCTGGAGTTACAGACAGTTGTGAGCTGCCATGTGCATGCTGGGAATTGAACCTGGGTCATCTTGAAGAGCAGTGAGTGCTCTGAACCACTGAGCCATCTCTCCAGCCTGGGAACCAATCTTTTTATGCCTGATTAGTTCTGAATTTTTAGTTTGTTTTCAAGACAGGGTTTCTCTGTCTCTGTCTCTCTGTCTCTCTCTTTTCTGACACAGAGTTTCTCTGTGTAGCCCTGACTGTCCTGGAACTTACTCTGTAGATCAAGCTGGCCTCGAACTCACAGAGATCTGCCTGCCTCTGCCTCTCGAATGCTGGGATTAAAGGCATTCACTACTATGCCTGGCTTGGTTGGGTTTTTTTGAGAGAGGATCTCACAGATCTATCCCAGGCTACCCTGGAACTTGCTGTATTGCTAGAATGACCTTGGGCTTTTCATCCTACTGCCATTACAGGCCTTTGTCACCATTCCCTAGTTCCTGCAATGCTGTGCACCAACCTAGTGCCTCATATTTGCCGGGCAAGCACTAGACCAACTATACTGTAGCCTCAGCCTTGTTGGGGCCTCTGTGAGAGAAACTGACCCCACTGTACAACTTTGTGCTGAAGGCAAATTCCTAGTCTTTTTTAGATTGACTTGAAAACACAGCTTGTAAACTGATGGCTGGAGGTGCCTAGAGCTTAGTTGCAGGTCCTATAGGGTAGAGTAGTTGAGTCCATTGTCCAGGAGATGAAGCATAGCTCAGTGAAGGAGCTCTTGCCTGGCCATCAGCAGCTCCCAGAGGTGCCACTGCCCTCTGGTTTATCCTTCTTTCTTTGGAGACTTCATTTTCTGAGACATTGTTTGGAAAGCAAGACTCAAGGAAACCCCTCGTGGTTGGTTACCAGGGTTTTCTTGGTTCCTGAAAAAGCACTGCTTGTTGCTTAAAATACACACCAGCAGTTCTCTTTCCATAGAAACTCAGTGTTTCCAAGTACCAAGGCTTTCTCACTTCAGCTGGGATTGCCTTGCTCAGAGTACATTGATTCCTCTGTGTAGTTGTAGCCTGATGGGGCCAGAAGAGCAGCCAGGCCTGCAAGATTAATTAATACACTGCCGCCGTATTTGTGTCTGTCCATATCTGAAGACCAGGTGAGCTCTGGCTTCAGATCACAGGAGAGGGTCGTCATGCTTTCTGCTTTTCTCTGGAGAGGCTAAAATGACAGCATGAGTGGGCCGGCCCGTCTGTGTTCACTAAGTATTTATGAGTGCTGTGTGTGTGTGTGTGTGTGTGTGTGTGTGTGTGTGTGTTGGTGCATGTGTATTTAGTGTGCTGCAGCTTCATTATGTCTGTGTTCATGGAACTGAAAAATCTTTTAGATCATTCTCTTGCTGTTTTTCTTAACTGCCTTGTAGTACACATTTGTTTTGTCTCCTCAATTTTTCCAGCAAGCACTAGTATAAAGTGCGGGACAATACAGGTTGACCCACCCTTGCCAGAAGGATTCTGAACATTTTAGTAGACCACCAGATTTTACTAGACTTTCCTTTTATCAGTTTGTGATTGATCCACCAGGGGGCAGTGAAGGAGCAGGCACGAGGCCATTCCTTTTTCTGAGGGCAGATTGGGCACGGGCTGTCCTCAGCTCAGGTGAAGGTAGATCAGGTGTGCTTTAGACTTGGCTGTTAGGTGAGCATATGGTGCTGGACAGGCTGAGCCTTGATTGACAAGATCAGTGCCTCAATTCTTTGTCTGTGAAGGTGGCACATTTGTTTCTACAGCGGAGGTTTCAGCACAGTAGTGGATGAATGTACTTTATCTTCTTTAAATAGACATATATGCACTGTGTTTATCTCCAGCCATCATTTCCCATAGCCATCCCCACCCTGTCATACTACATGTCACCATGTCCTTTTCACTGGAGCTGTCTCCTGTTTACAGGGTGGTGGTCTCTTTTCATGTGCCCTTCAGGCTGAATCTCTTAGGTAGCACAGTACATGTCTGGCACATAGGAGGCGTCAGGAAAAAAGGAAAAGAGGGTGTTTGCAGGGAACTGCACACAGTAACTGTTTAGATTCTGTATTTGGGGGTTGGTTGTTTTACTGGATTTCTAATCACATTGACTCGAGCAGTCTTTTCTGACCTGCTTCCTTAGTTTGCAGGTCCTGAGTTGGAAAGAGTGAAGGTGAATGCTTTACTGAGTCTTTCCTCTCCCTCACCCTAGCTTGCCAGCAAAGCACGGACGGAGAAGGAGGAGAAGCTGAGCCAGGCCTATGCAATCAGCGCTGGCGTCTCCCTGGAGGGCCAGCAGCTCTTCCAGACCATTCACAAGACGTGAGTTGTGGGAGCATAGGGGTTCCTTTTCCTATAGCTGATACTGGCTGGCTGTTTGTCTGATGAAAGGCTTCTGGGTGGTTGTCTTCCTGAAAGTGTACCAGGGAAGCTGGGTGGCATATTGGCAGCACACTGGCATCCAGAGATACAGCACTTGGAGCTCCCTTTGCACAGTAGAATAGTGTGGTCCTAATGAGTCCTTTGAGTTTCTTGTCTGTAGAAGTTTGTTTGGGTTGGATTGTCTTGTAAGGGGCCCTGGTAATAGTAACCCGTGATGTAGAGCTCCTGTTTAGCTTCTTGTTTGTTGTTGTTGCTGTCCCTTCCTCTAAAGCCTGTGGTTGTATTAAGGGAAGTTGGATCACTTTCCCTAGTTGTGCCTTGGGACAAACACAGGGAGTTAGGAAGAACAGAAGGCTACCTTCTTACCTCCTCCTGAAACACATATTGTCACAGCAGAAGTCAAACTCTCTACTAGCTTCCCTAACTGCTGAAAACCTGGAACATTTGACACCCACCTCAACCCCCCTGCAGCCTTCTGTTACCCTGTTTAGCCACCCAGGGTCTGGTGCACAGATGGCAGCTGGCAGTAGAGCTGTCTGGGCCCGGGTGTATCTGAGCATTTCCAGGTATGTGAAGGAACTCGTAGAGTAGTATCAGCTGCCCTGGGATTCCCCCATGTGTGAACTCAAATGGAGTTTCCTGTGTGGCAGGTGTCTGGCTGTCTGGTAATTGAGTGGGGCCAGTTGGAATGCAGCTTGCAGGGTTGAGGGTAGGGGCTGGGTGGAGGCAAAGTACAGACCTCTGTACTTCTAGAAGTGGTATTTCTCCCTAGGCCAGGGGTGGGTGGGTCTGCCCCTTGTATACGTGTCACATGTTGACCAGTTCCATAGCTGTTTATGATGTGACCCTGGATAGAAAGCCAAGCGTCTGCCACTCCCATGCCTCTCCAGGCCACTACGCCAGATCTAGCGGCCTAGGTCTGCTTGTTCATTTGTAATTTGGCTTGAACTTCTGAGGCTGCCACCAAATGTTCTGTGGTTCTCCAAGCCCCTGATGGTCCAGACTAACAGTTCTGGCTCTCCGTAGGAGACTACATTAGTGTCATTGCTTTCCTGTCCAGCAATGCCGGGAGGATGTTTGTTAGCTTCTCTCTGGCTGAGTAGTGAGCTGGGAACTTGAGGTCAGCCTACTGAAAGTAGGGTTTTTTTCATTATTTTTATTTTCAAGACCTGTAGCCCAGGCTGGCCTCAAACTCAAAAATCCACCTGCCTCTGCCTCCTGAGTGCTGGGATTAAAGATGTGCACCACCATGCCTGTCTCTAAAGTTAGTTCTTCACTAGATGGGAGGTATGGGATGTCCCCAGGATGTCACATTCACTTATATTCTTCTCCTTCCAGCATTAAAGACTGTAAATGGCAAGAAAAAAACATTGTAGTCATGGAAGAAGTTGTTATCACACCCCCATATCAAGTGGAAAATTGTAAAGGCAAAGAGGGGAGCGCACTGAGCCATGTACGAAAAATAGTAAGTACAGGAGCTGTGGGGCTCTCAAGAGAGTAGGGTTCCTTGTCCTCACCAGAGCGGGACATTTGTGCTCCTGCAGTAATGATGTTGCCTGGAAGTCCTGCCTCTGCCCCTCTGTGGCTGTGTCTTGAACGATGTGGGGATAGGAACATTGGTGGTGTGGGATAGAGTAAGCAGTCAGCCCTGGGTCTTTCACCACCTGACTATAGAATTAGACCATTCAATGGGATAGGCTTTGAGCTGTTCCTCTCAGCTCCAGTGGGTTGGGTTTGGTTTGGTTTTTAAAGACAGGGTTTCTCTGTGTTTCCCTGGGTGTCCTGGATCTTGCTCTGTAGACCAGACTGGCCTTGAACTCACAGAAATCTGCCTGCCTCTGCTTTCTAAGTGCTGGGATTAAAGACATGCATCACCACCCACCCAGGTTCTTTGGTTTTTTTTTTTTTTTTTTTTTTTTTTTTGGAGACAGGGTTTCTCTGTGTAGCTTTGGAGCCTTTCCTGGGACTTACTCTGTAGACTAGGCTGGCCTCGAACTCACAGAGATCTGCCTTGCTCTGCCTTCCGGGTGTTGGGATTAAAGGTATGCGCCACCAATGCCCGGCTGCTAGGCAGGTTCTTAACTGTAGGTTCGCTGGGTAATGGTGCTACACACCTTTAATCCCAGCCATAGGGAGGCTGAGGCAACAGATCTCTGAGTTTGAGGCCAGCCTGGTCTACAGTGAGTTCCAGGACACCCAGGGCAACACAGAGAAACCCTGTCTCCAAAAAAAAAAGTGTAGGTTCTACCTTACTTTCTAAAGTATAACAGTTGTAGAAAAAGCAAAAATCCAGCTGGGTGATGGTGTGTGTGTGTGAATGTGTCTGTGTACCATGTGCATGTGTGGCTCTGATAGAGGTCAAAAGAAGGCATTGGATCATCTGGAACTGGAGGAATGGCTGGCTTTGAGTTGCCATGTAGATGCTGGGAATTGAACCTACATCCTATGCAAAAACAAATGTTCTTAATTGCTGAACCATCCCTCAGGCCCACACTGTTGTGGATCTATAAAGTATAACAGGACTGATTTTCCTCTCCATTAGCTTTTTATTCTGCATTTATGTCAGAAAGAAGGAGCTGAAGAGACGGCTCAGCAGTTAAGAGCACTTGCTGCTCTTCTAGAGGACCTGAGTTCTGTTCTCAGCATTTATGTAAGGGAGCTCACAACTGTTTGTATTCTAAATTCCAGTAGATCCAAGACCTATGGCACCAGCACTCTCCACTCAGTGTGCACATACATCCCCACATGCACACACACAACTACACATAATTAAAAATAAAAACAAAATCTAACATTGTTAGAAAGGAAAGAGGAATTTTGGTAGTAATAATCAACCCTTACTTTATTATGTGTTAGTTTATAGCTACAATATTAAGCCAGTTTTAGCTCAGCTGCCACAGTGTGGCTGAAATAAGAGGGTCCTGCCAGCCTACCTTGCAGGTGAGGAGGCCAGTAGGCAGCAGCAAGGCCAAAGCCAACTGCATAGCTCATGGGCTAGACAGCCAGGCCTGGGCATGTGAAGCTGGCTTAGATTGTGCAGGAAGAGACCTTCCCCCTTCTCCATTTCTGACTCGGCTGCTTGGTCTCTTGCAGGTTGAAAAACATTTTAGAGATGTGGAAAGCCAAAAGATACTGCAGCGTTCACAAGCTCAACAACCACAGAAGGAGGCTGCCCTGTCATCCTGAGTCCACAAACATGGAGGACTCTTCCAGCATCCAGCCACAGAGATGGTGGTGGTGGCTTCGGCGGAGGCAGGCCGGGGGAGGGAAGGGATCCTATATTTCCTGCTGACTCTTATGAAAGAGCCAGTGTTTCAAAAAAACCTAGACTTGAACAAACACCCAACAAAAAAAGAACAAGAGAATAATTTAAAAGTTGAATCATTACTTGACTAACGGACTTCGGCCCACCATGTCCTTTTCACAGCCCCTTCTGGAACAGTCATCTTGTTAGTTTTATTTTTGCAAATTCCTTCCCACCGCCCTTCACCTGTGACTTTCCTGTCCTAGTCTGTTCTGCCATTCTGTTTTTCTAAGTGGATATACTTGCCTTCCGAATGATTGAAAGAAACTTTTACATCTTTTCTTCCAAAATAAAAGTAACAAGCTGACTGTGATTCTGAAGTTGAGACCAGAGCAGAAGACAGAGGTCTCACTTTACATTTTTCATTTTTTTTCTTGACTTTTTTTTTTCTTTTTTTTTTGCACAGGGCATGGCTTGAATTAGTTTTATTTTTCTTAACTTTAAATATATATATGGAAATATATATTAAAATGTTCTCTAAGTATTTTCTGCTTCTTGCAGGTCTCTTTTTACTAGATCATGGCCACTCTTCCCACCTCATCCCTCTGAAAACAAAAATATGTTGTCCTTTCTCCCACCCGGAGCCCGACGATTAACTTGACTTAGTTCACAGTGAGGCCCTCCTGCAGCCCTGCAGAGCCAGTGTGCAGACGGGATTTGACCTGAGGGTCCCGAGGGCTTTCTGGTCTTTGACTGTGTGTACCTGTCTCACATTTGGTCCCAGCCGCAGGACTCCCTCTGCCTTTGTCTTCATGGTACTAGACAACTCTCACTGTCCACTGGGAGTCGGCCGCCCCTTCCCTGTGCCTCTGCAGGAGGACTGGCTGGCATGGCACATCTCAGCTCTTCTCCACTGGGCTGATTTTCTCTTCTAAGAAACCTGGACTCGATCTCCCTGACCTTCTTAAGTCTGTGTCCAGAGCCCAGGAAAAGCTTGAATAACCTCTAGTTTCTCTCCTCCCATCCTCCTCCTCTTCTGCCCCCCCTACCCCCGAAATCTTACAAGCTAATAACAGTTTGTATGTGCTCAGCCAATGGGCAGAAAACCTGGAAAGAATTTCTGGACTTGAACCCCCCAGTTTGCCTGGTTTGACTAACCTGCTGAGAGCCGAAACTGGTACTTGTTGCCCCTGCACCTCCAGGGCAGTCTCATGGGGCAGAGTGCCACCACCTGAATATCAGGCACTGAGTGGGACGTGGGTGATGCTCATGTGACTGGCTAGAGCTTTGGGGGTAGGGTGGGGCTAATTTTTTTTGGCCATGATCTCTTTTCCCTTTTTTTTTCTTTTAATTAAATAAATGGATCAAAATTAAATAATTCAAGCCCTGCCTTCAAAATGGAAAAAACTTTTTTTTTTTTTTTTTTTTTTTTTAGTATTGTTTAGCAAAAACAATAAACCCAAATTTTTTTAACCATCATTCATGTCTCAGGTTTGTGCGTACTTTAGTGTCCCCAAATGAAGGGTCTGAAATGTAGAGGGGGGTGTGCCTGCTGAGTTCATCCTCTCTTTAGATTGCCTGCTTTTCTCTTTCCCCACTCTTCTTACCCTGAGAAGTCATCCAGAAGTACAGTGCAAGTACAGTGTGCTATAAGGAGGGATCCAGGCTGGTGAGGTGCCCAGGAAAGGGCCCTTGGTGCACAAGCCTGGTAACCCAGGTTGGAATCCTGGAACCTACATAAAAGGGAAGGAGACCCAACTCCATAAAATTGTCTTCCGGCCTCCACATGCATTCTATGGCATATACACTCATGGTCACATACAAGTTCAAAAAGGGGAGGGACCCAGGGTTCTGTGTGTGTGTGTGTGTGTATAGTAGTAGTAGTCATAGAGCGTTATTTCATTTTAAGTGGCTTGATAGAGCGGCTGAGAAGAGAACTCATTCATCACTTGCTGTTGGCCAGATTCAAAGAACAACCTTTAATTCATGCAGAATTGTAGACCTTAGCGAAGAGACCTTGTCAGAGTCTTGCAGTTGGGTTCAAGTCCTTACTCTTTGTTTTTGTTTTTGTTTTCGAGACAGGGTTTCTCCATGTAGTTTTGGTGCCTGTCCTGGATCTCGCTTTGTAGACCAGGCTGGCCTTGAACTAAAAGAGATCCGACTGGCTCTGCCTCCCTAGTGCTGGGATTAAAGGTGTGCACCACCGCCACCCAGCTTCAAGTCCTTGCTCTTTTTCTTTGTAATTTGAGAGACATAGCACCTGCCTGTGACCATTTCCCCAGCTCTGAACATGGAAAATACCCATCTAGAATTGGCATAAAGGATTAGTAGGGTATTTAAGTGTTGGATACTTAGAAGATGTTCCTGATATCAATAGTCCTAGAATGTTTAAATTGAGAGATGAGATTTAATTCAGTGCTTATTAAGTCTAACTCTTAACTTCCATTCAGAATCAGATATGGTAATGTACCCCTAATCCAGCAGTTGACAGGCTGAGACAAGATCATGAGTTCAGGGCCAGCCTGAGCTATATGGTGAGACCCTATTGCAAAAAAAGGGGGTAGGGGTGGTGGAAAAGAGTTACCCTGTGTGAGTCCTAGGGGCCAAACCCAGGTCTTCTGTGAAAGAAGCAGGCACTCGTCTCCAGCCCTGTGAAAGGTCGTTTTGAGGAAGGTTAGTAAGTGACGTGTTGGGGCAGGTGATCCCTGCCCTCAGTCCCTCAGATTTCTTCCCTTTGAAGTCCCTGTGAAAAGAATTGGATTAGTAGCTGAAAAATTATTTTTTCCCCCTCAAGAATGAATTCCATCTAGGCCAGTGACTTGTCCACAGTGCCCCAGCTGCCTGTGATGGCGGAACTGGAGCCGTCCCCAAGCCTTGGTTAGTTCCGTGGGCTCCTAGTGTACTGTGAAGTTCCAGACCGACGCTCTGCACTGTTTATTTGCTAGGTTTGGGAAGCAGTGCGGAGTAGATGCAAGAGTAGGTGCCCTGTAGGTGGAAACGACACCGAGCTACCCAAGAATAAGGTGCAGAGGACTTCGTCTTTGATGAAGTGTGCACAGGCAGCTGCACTGTGTCTCCTTGGCGTTGGGCATTTCTTTCCTCCCCACGTGGACCTTGACCCCAGCATCTGATGATCTGCCTTTACACACATGGTGGTGTCATTGCTATTTAGTGGCCAGCATGGGACAGGCTTCCTGTGGGGGGTTGACACTGAATCTATGCTGCTTGAGTCTGGCCATCTGATTTGTTTGTTTTCAAGTTTGGGAACTTGCTCCAGCATTGACTGTTAGTTCAATGGCACCACCCTAGGAACCAGTGATTGAGGGGAACGTCTCCTTGGTGCTTTAAATTTTAAGATTTATTTTTGAGAGTGTGTGTATCTGCCCAATGAGGCCTGAAGATGGTGGCAGATCCCCTGGAGCTGGAGGGGAGTTATAGGTGTTTGTGAGCCACTCTGGGTGGGTACTGAGAACTGACTTGGATCCTCTGAAAGGGGGGAGCAAGTGCTCTAACCACTGAGCCATCTTTCTAGTCCCTCGACACTTAGGTTTTTGTGTTTTCACTTTGTGTGTGTGTATGTGTGTGTGAGTGATGGCGAATGTGGGGATTAGAGGATAGCTTGCAAGAATTGGTTCTCTTCATACTGTAGATCTTGGGGCTAGAACCCAGGTCATCGGGCTTGGGAATGGTCACCTTTATGTCCTGAGCCATAATACTGGCATCTTCATGGCATTTTTAACCCATAACACTTTAAAATAATTTTTAAAAATTTATATTTGGTTGTGGGTGTGAACCTGCCATTGTGCAGATGTGGAGGTCAGGGAATGAGTGTGTCCCAAGATCAAATTCAGGTCGTCGGGCTTGGTGGCGAGAGCCTTCGCTTGGTGAACCCTCCGACCAGTCCTTTCCCGCTCCCTAACTGTTGAAATCTGTTCTTGGGCTGGCAGAATGACTCAGCAGAGGAGGTACTTGGTGCAAATCTGGCATCCCGAGTGTGAGCCCTGGAACCCATGTGAAGGTGGGAAGAGAGACCCAATTCCATGAGGTTGTCCTCTGACTCTCATGTGCTAGGCATGCATGCCCATGCACATGACACTTAAAAATGTTTCCCTACCACATGCTGGCATTTCATTTGCATACAACTAATCCATTGCCTTCCTTGGAACACAACTTCCTTGGTAAGGAAGAAATGGCATAGAGGATATGGAGAGAGACTTTTTAAAGAAAAATTCTCTAGGGATCACTTTCCATTTCAACTACCAAGGATGATGTGTTATGCAGGAAGCTAGTTGGATGGGGTGAGTGCTAGGTCAGAGGTGGGGGCAGGTGTAGCGGTTGGTCACCTGGAGGGTGGCTGCATCTGCATGATGGGTTCACCTTCCCACCTCTGCACAAGGTCACTGGCAGCTGAGTTTCCCCCCACAGACACTTGAAATCAGCCAAGTGGTGGTGGCGCTCACCTTTAATCCCAGCACTAGAGGCAGGTGTATCTCTGAGTTCAAGGCCAGCCTGGTCTAAGAGTGAATTCCAGGACAGCCAGAGCCATAAAGAGAAACCATGCCTTCAAAAACCACCCCCCCCCCAAAAAAAAAAAGAAGAGAGAGAGAATGAAAGTTGAAATCAACACAGAGTGCTGCCTAAACTCTGGGAATTTCATAAAATGATCAATAATAAATAGCATGAAGTACCTTACAGATGAAAAAGGGGTACAGTGGACTGCTGAGTGTGTTGTGAACTAAACTCACTCTAAAAAAAGCCTTACATGGAAAAAAAAAGCTTATACTGGAACATTAAGAAGGCAAGTATGGTCGCAGTCCGTACACTCGGGAGGCAGAGCCAGGTGGATCTCTGTGAGTTCCAGGCCAGCCTGGGCTACAGAGTGAGATCCAGGACAGGCACCAAAACTACACAGAGAAACCGTGTCTCGAAAAACAAGACCAAAAAAAAAAAAAAGGGCAAGTATTTTCTCACCTATTTCCTCAAAATATTAAAACCTACTGTATTCTTTGCCATACAGATCATTTTCTAGAGTCAAAGTCACCTTCCTGTTTATTGCATGTGTTTTTTTTTTTTCTTCTTTTTTTTTTTTTTGGTTTTCCGAGACAGGGTTTTTCTGTGTAGCTTTGCACCTTTCCTGGATCTCGCTCTGTAGACTAGGCTGGCCTCAAACTCACAGAGATCCGCCTGGCTCTGCCTCCCGAGTGCTGGGATTAAAGGCGTGCACCTCCACCACCACCTGGCCTGCTCATTGAGTTTTTGAAGATGTAGCCTACTTCACTGTTGAACTTGCTAACTGGCCCTCCTTCCCTAGCCACAGAGCCCATTACTGAGTCAGTGGTGCGCTCTGCATTTGTTGGCACCTTACAATTGTTGTTTATGAAATGTTTGGAGTTAATCTTACAATATTGTGCTTAAGAGGCAGCTATGAAGCCATCCTTGATAGTTGAAATGCAAAGTGATCCATATATACATACACATACATATATTCCATATATATGTATAAATATATATTTCACACACATATATAAATAAAAAACAGGATCT